ACGGTCAATCCCACTATTCGTTGGTAAAAGAGTAGCCCAAGAGTTGGCGGTGGGTGGTGATGACTAGCTGCCCTCCCTCTAGTCTTATACTGCTAAATTAGGAACGGTTAGCGCAGATAGCCCTCGTGTAGCTTTGCGCGAAATCAAAAACAAACAAACAAAGATGGTCCTTAATTTTAGAGTAATTTGACTAAAAGTAAATACAAGGTATTCCGATGTATAGACAGCAACTGAAACTGAATAGGGCAAACAGGAAGGGCAAGATTAAGAGCGCCCGTTAACTAGACGTATCGTGTAGTTCATCTCTCCATTGTATTCATAGTGAACTGTATAAACACGGTTTTCATTAATACTTTACCTTAAATCCCGTGATGAATAAGGTACCCTAAAGGACCACAGAAAAATAAAACAACAATAAAAAATAGACAGTCCTCACGAAGATTGTAAAACCTTCAAGTAACTCAGCGGTATCGCATTATCCCTAGGAGTTTAGAATCTGGTTTAATCTACATATATATATATCTGCTATCGTTAGCATGAAGTAAAAAAACTAGGGTTAAAACTTGAACTAATAAGAAAACATCTATTGAACTAAAGTCTAATAACACATACAAAAATATTAAACATATTTGAAATCTATAAAAGTGCTTTTTTTATTCATTAGGATTGAATTTATACTGTTCTTTCAAGCTATCATTTCAATTTAATGTTCAAAATTCTAAAACTCAAAATTTAATCCCTAAAAGAAAACGAATCTTTTAGAAAGATTACCTGAAATAATTAACAACTTCCGTTAATCCTCTGATCAGCATGCCGTTAACAAACTCTTGGGTATAACAAGGTTATCTCAGTAAACGTTTTTTTCCCTGATAGCTGTTGATATCTTTATAAAAGAAACTTTCAAATCTTTCAGAATAACGTATTAGATGTTCTCTCCAATAAAAAACCACAAACATACACTTCTTTTTAAATACAAACACATACATATATATATATATATATATTGACTTCAAGTACCATAGTTGTGAGTTTGAGACAAATAACATATTTTTGTCTCGCGCAGCACCTATAGAAACTTTCGTTTAGAAAATTAATAATGCAAATTATCCTTTTGTCCTTGCCCTCCAGTAGCTCAGCAGTAAGTCTGAAGGCTTATGACACTAAAATTCGGGTTTCAATACCAGTGGTGGGCAGCACATAGGTAGCCCATCGTGTAGCTTTGAGCTTAACGACAAACAGATCACAGCCTTTGTCACTGAACATAATTAGATACGTACTTTGAGCTTAACGACAAACAGATCACAGCCTTTGTCACTGAACATAATTAGATACGTACTTTCAACTTAACTACAAACAGACCACAGCCTTTGTCACTGAACATAATTAAATACGTACTTTGAGCTTAACTACAAACAGACCACAGCCTTTGTCACTGAACACAATTAGATACGTACTTGGAGCTTAACGACAAACAGATCACAGCCTTTGTCACTGAACATAATTAGCTACGTACTCCACAGTTATTAGAAAAACCAGTTTAAAATATTCCCCCTCCTCTAAAGAAGTTTTGAGTTTAAGCAGCACAGTTATTAACAGATCAGCTTATTTTAAAATCTAATCTAATGTGTTTTTTTTTTTACAGTGTACGGCACGATCTTCCTTATTTTAAGATCTAATCTAATGTGTTTTTTTACAGTGTACGGCACGCTCTTCCTTATTTTAAGATGTAATCTAATGTGTTTTTTTACAGTGTACGGCACGATCTTCCTTATTTAAGATCTAATCTAACGTGTTTTTTCTTCGACTTAACATCAATTAGTAACAAATAAGTTTTGGCACACGGAGAACTTTTGTCCCATTTCATATTTCTGTAGTTTGTACGATGGACGCTAGAGGGACACTAGGCTAAACAACTTTTCGCGCCGGTGTACCTTCAGGTGCTTAGCCAGATGATCGGATCTGGAAAAGCGTTTCTCACAAATCTGACAAAGATAAGGTTTGATCCCCGAGTGAGACCGTTTGTGGCGGGCCAACTCATCCGATCGAGAGAAACGCCAACCGCAACTGGGCCACTGACAAGCGAAAGGTTTCTCACCCGTGTGACGTCTCAGATGAGCTTTGAGATGCGAGCTCTTGGAGTAGACTTTGCTACACCCTTGGTAGGTGCAGTAGAAAACCTTCTCCTCATCTTTAACCGAGGATCCGTTCACGCCCACCCTCTGCGATCCTCTTCGTTTTCCCGTAGCCGTTTGGGGGAAGTTCAGCAACGGGGAGCAACTAGTTACGGGGAACGTAGTTGTCTCCGTGGAACTGCTTCTGTTCGAAATGCTCCGGTTAAATCTATCGACGGATCCTCGTGGATGAAGAACTGTTGTCGAGTTGTTATAGACAGACTTAGAAATGATGGGCTCCTTCTCCTGAAATCCCGACGTTAAAGTTTTTAACCCTACACCTAGTACGACTAAATCGTCCTCGCATGTCCTGAAGTCTGACACGGAGTCTGTGGAGGAACCAAAACCAGATTCTAGGCTGAAGTTGTAAAAGGAGTTGCAGGCAGTGTCACTGAACATGCACGAAGGATTACTAAAGTTTGAAATTTCTCCTTGTGTTAATGTGGGTCCGGACCACGTGCAGTCCCACGACCCTGGGTAACCGCCGACTGATTGACTGTCCGTTTGTCTTACTGGCGTCTCTCCACTTTCAGCTGGCAGCTGAGATATGAGGTAATCCAGGTAGGCATCCAGGTTTCCTAGCGACCAATCGTCACTGTCTTCGTCGGAAGAATTGAGTTTATGTAAACTAAGACTTTCTCTCTCGCGGGTAGAGGGTAATGGTAAAAATTCATCCATGTTAGAGACGAGCATACATATCGTGAGGCTCGAAATTACGAGAAGTAAAACACGTGAGTACCACTTAATACACGTTCTCGCGCTAAGAGCATGTCTTATCTAACTGTGAATCACCCGGAAACACGAGCTGACTGGATTGTTGGAAGTTCCGTCTCTGTGTTCAGCTGCCACTCCACAAACAATAACAATATTTGAACACTGGCCAAACATTCACCACTGAACGCAGGTACAGACATATCACGGAAATAATATCTTAATTTCTAAACTATTAGAAAGAATAGAGAAATATCATTAGCTCACTTCTCTTATAACTTTCTTATCACACACTTTCTTTTTACTTTGACCCCGTAGAGCTTATGAATGACTTGAGATAGTCGAGACGTGCTCTGATTGGCCACTTAGTCAGCACCAATAGAAACAAAACTAATCACGTGGTTATTAAGACTAGTTGTATCTGGTGGAAAGGTTGTGGGGCTCCTAAGGGTTACAGCAACTAATGAACGTTTAATGCTGACCAACTAGTCTCCGACGTTTGTTGATCTGAGGTGAGCGCACGTGATCACAATCGTCTAATCAGATTATATTCCCTGTCTTGTCTATAGGATCATCAGTTACAGAAGACGTACAACTATTGTCTCCACTTCTTGGAGTCCGTTACGTGTTGGTTGAAACGTATAACATATATCACGTATCACCTTCGATGACGAGGAACCCACTTTCAGACTAATAATGGCTGGAGACGGCTTGAATGGGTAATGAAGAAAAACTTTAATATAACAGCAAATGTACAACGTTTCGACAAGGTTTTTGTCATCATCAGGTACAAGTAATTTACACTGACACGGATATATATATACAGTATTGAATAAAGAGGTCACATGACCGGATACTGTTGCAAAACTTAGAAGAGGTATCTTGGCACCCCGGGGTGTTGGTTTAGAGTAGGGTTGTTTGTTTAATTAAGATTTGTTCGATTAATAATTAATATACATATTAAAATGAAAAAATAATAAAATAAGTGTCATATTTTAGATTATTACAAAATTCAATGAAAACACGTGTCGTGGTTTGTGGATCTAGTACTGATAAAAAGCAACAATATGACAATTAAAATTTTTAACGAAGATGATTGGACATATATATAGATCTTTACAAGTTTTAACGAACCTGATTGGACATATTTAGATCTTTAAACATTTTAACGAACCTGATTGGACATATATAGATCTTTACAAATTTTAACGAACCTGATTGGACATATTTAGATTTTTAAAAATTTCAACGAACCTGATTGGACATATTTAGATCTTTAAACATTTTAACGAACTTGATTGGACATATTTAGACCTTTAAACATTTTAACGGACATGATTGGACATATTTAGATCTTTAAAAAATCAAAATATTCTTCCTAAAAATTATATTAAAACAAAGCCTATTGCAGAAAGTGTTGTGCACTGGTTATAACATATTCATGGAAACCTAAAATATGTCTAAGGTGTAGGTTTCGGGAAACCGGTCTTAATACTGCATACTTTCAGAGGTTCTAAGCTGATACTCTCCCCTAAACAACAAAACACAATCACAATTACCCACTAGACAACAGAACACAATCACAACTACCCCTAAACAACAAAACACAATCACAACTACCCCTAAACAACAAAACATACAATCACAACTATCCCCTAAACAACAAAACATACAATCACAACTACCCCTAAACAACAAAACACACAAACACAACTACCCCTAAACAACAAAACACACAAACACAACTACCCCTAAACAACAAAACAAAATCACAACTACCCCTAAACAACAAAACACACAAACACAACCTCCCCTAAACAACAAAACACAATCACAACTACCCCTAAACA